AAAGGCCATTGGTAGATTAGTAACTTTAAAACTGGAATAGACTTCTTTATTTCAACTGGCAGAGGCAATTTAGCAATCGGGATTTGAAGCTCTTTGATGTGAAATATTTATACTGGCCAACAGTGAATTTCACTCAGGACCAGTGGGATTGCAGTGCTGCCAAACAAGGGACGCTGCTTGTTTCCTTCTTTGTACAGAAACACTTCATATCACAAGCACAAATTAACCCTGGTGATTAATCTAAAATGTAATGTATATTAGTGAATCTGACATCTGTGAAGCCAGAGTATTCTTTATGAGTATTTAAAAAAAATGAAATGATAATACAAAGGTGTAATTTCTGGCTGTTACATTAAGTCTGGAAGTGTAGACAGTTCAGTCTGGAAGAGACAATGGCTGGTCACCTAGTCAAATTCCTCACACCTGCTCAAAGCATATTCAGACATATCAGGTTGCTTAGGGACTTGTCTAGATGTTTTAAAATACTTTCAAGGATGGAAATTCCACAAATTCTGTGGAGAGACCATTCCAGTGTTTGATTACCCCAAATGTATATACGGAAGCAGAATTTCACATATTGAAAATTGTACCTCTTGACTCTTGTCCTGTCATTACACACCTCCAAGAGTCTAGTTCTGTCTTTCTTGTAACTCCTGTAAGGCATCTATGGACAGCTCCTGTTAACCTCATCTTCCCCAACCCAAGTACATCCAACCTTTCTGACATTCAATGCTCCCAAGTCTCTCCTCATACTTCATGAGTTCCATGAACTGCCTGAGTCTCATTTTCTCATTGTATATCCCAATGGAGCTTTTGGGTTAAACCCTACAAGAGCACTGTGAGGAAATAGTTCATGCCTGCTCTGCACTTTGATGAGTGCTCTGATTAAACACACATTTTTGTTAAATATTGTTAGTTTTTTAAAAAGCAGCATAGTATTTAATCATTCTTTCTGTTTCTCTGAAGGGACACTGGGATTTTCTCTCTGTAAACGAGTTTCCTGGAGCTAGATTCAGACAAACCTACACGATTCATAGCAGCTAATCCCAGTCAGCTCTCTCTCCCTTAACACTTCAGAAATGCTTTCTAACCATTTCCAGAGGGTCAGTGTGCTGGGAAGGAGCCTCCTCACGAAAATAAAAGAAGATGCAGAAAATTGAGGCTGAGTGCAGAGTGAAGTGTTTGTTGTAGCCATGACTATTTTTTCAGAGAGAGGTACACCTTAGTGATTAAGGCAGGTACTGGGATGACTCGAGTTTGGCTCCTGATAAGCAGTAATAGAAGTCAGCCTGTGTCAGTGCTGTAGCAAGTAGGCTAATGTGAGAGAAAAGACACCTCTTTTCTTGAGGCATCTTCAGAAGTGTTGCATATTACTAATTATATTATTTTATGAGAAAAGGGCATCAACTGACAGAAAAAAAATCCAGGCTATATATCCCAGGTGCCAGGCGCAAACAACAATTTATTTTACTTGGGGAGCACGATTTTTTTCTAAATTATTTATGTCAAAGACAGAAAGAATGGAAATATAATATAGATCTAGACATGACTAAGAAGTACAGGCTCAATGGGAAAACCTCGTAGATGTTTTACAAGTCAGGTAAAATTCAGTAACATTAAAAGCGATTGCTGAAAAAAAGTGATTTCTTATTTATAGTAAGTTCTAAAATAGATTGTTCCTGGAAACCTTTCTGATGGAGGAAAGAGCCAGAGAAAATCCCATTAGGGTTTAACAGATTCTTTCTTATTCTTGTCTTCATCATGAACTTACAAGGATATGGAGTTAGGCTAAATTTGTAATTCATTTTTTCTTCACAGTGAGGAGACAAAACTCTGAACATTCCTAAATGGTGCTGATGTATGCATATATATTTGTTGTCTATATAGAATGCCAGAGATGAATCTGTATGAAGATATCAACAAGCTGCATGTGATTCTGGTTCTGACTTGTTGAGAGAAAAGTTTTCTTGAACAAGCCATTCCTTATTTCAAAATGAAATGTGGGATGTGGGTGATACCCTGGGAGGTGTGTTAATGCTGGAATAGGACAGAGGAGCATGGGAGTGTGTACAGCATTACCATAAAACCCCTGTGGTCAACAAATGGGAAATAGGTTTTCATGTTAATTAGGAAAAAGAAACCAAACCAGATATTTTAAATATTTATTTGTCAGACTGGGATAACAGCCTTTATAGAGCACAATTTGCATAAGTTCTCAAGATACATCCTGTATACAATCACAAAACCATGGCATGGATTTATACATAAAGTGAAAACTGGGACAGATTTACAAGCATTTTTATACAGTTCTCATACTGCTTTTGTTTCAGTTTTTACAACTTTTAGAACAAGTCTGTATTTCTTTTCCTGATGATTCCGGAAGCAAAATAAAAATTAAAAGAAATTCAAACCAAAATGAGAATCAACAAACCACCATCTATGCATGCAACATTCACTGTGGAAACATTACATTTCTTCAAGGACTAATCTTTTTTTTTGTTGTTGTTTTTGCAGGTTTTTTCGGTGTTTTTTGGATTTTTTTAAACACTGTGTATGCTGTACATGTTTTCTGTTGCATGACAGCACGCACGCTAGTCAGCCATCATTGAGCACCTGAGCACGTCACTGAACATCTATAAGATACAATCAAATAAGGACACACTCACATGCTTGGATGTTAGATGGAGTTAATAACTTAAACTCAGTCTGTTTTACAAAAAATGTATAAGTATTTACAGAGTAACAAATTAAGAAAACGGCTCTCGCTCAAATCATCTATTTTGAGTTATGGATATCTATATATATTATAACTTTTGAGCTCATCAATATATCTGCTTATTAATTTTTTCAAAATAATAAAACAGAACATACAGAAAACATTAAAATGTTTCTTGTGGTTTAAAGAGAGAGTATCCGGTCTCACTTATTCTTTTTATTTTCTTTCTAAAGGCAACATGTATTCATAAAGAGCAATTCATCCTACATGCCAGGTGTACTGAAAATTCACAAGGCATGTAGGACTAAAGTTTAAATATAATGTAGGTGGATACTTATGCTAAAATTCCTCTCTGTTTTATTACCTTTATAAGTTACACTCACTCAAATTTTCTCTGCTATTCACATAGGTATGTACATATCTAGATATATACTCAAATAATGAATCTGGGACATTCAACATTGTAGCAATGCAAATAAACTAGTTAAAAATAGTGTCAGTTATGATTCAAATAATAATTTAAAAAAATACTATTAACATCTTTATGATATCTCCATGAAACTAAATCCTAATTAAATAATCTCTATTGGGCACACACTAGTACAATATAATAGATGTCTTCTTTTTCTTCATCATCATCCTCAAAGTAAGAATCAATATCAGCTGGTTACCAGCTACCATATCCCACAATCTAACCATGCAAACACCCAGCATCCAGAAAAATAACTCAAATATTTCCTAGGTTTCAATTTATAGCCAGTTCAAGTCAATAGAGTGGTTGTTATTGACTTCAGCTGGTTTTTGTTTCTTCCACACAGGATCCGTGTAATGTAAAAACATGGTTAATAATAAAGAAGCAGCACTCATTGCCTCTGGATACTATCCCTTTAAAGTGTAATGATAAAGAACTAGCTCAACACTCATCATAGAAACTCTCATGTTTAGTTTTAACCTGGAAAAAAAAAAGTGGCTGTTTGCTGCTCATTGTATGCATACTACTAATAATGATAACATTATAAATCCCTATCATTTGTAAACACACACACACTGTGCTTTTGCTCATTTTTCAGCTTGTTCCCACTATACAAGGCCTTGAACAAAGAAGCAGCTTCAATTTCTGTTGTCTCAGCAGATTTATGAATTTAAAAAGTTTAAATGCCTCTGCTGTTGCCTCCCTGCAATATGTATCTTCAAAGCAATCATAGAAATGTGTGAAATCATTAATAATCAAACACTCAGAAATGATAAAAGCTGTTGCCACATCTAAGCACTTTTGGCCAGATAAAACAAACCAAAATTAATGAGAAAAAAGCAAAAAAATTATACTGAGATATATACAAAAAAGGTAAAAAAATACTAATAGTCCTTGTTTGATTATTTTTTAAAAAACATTGTCACAAGAGTTTTTCCTGACTTCTTTAATAAAACAAACAAACAACAAAAAAAGGAAACTATGCATTCAAACATGAATCTGTGTTGCATAGAGTGATTTCAGTACAACCTAGAAATTTGGTCAAAAAAAGGAACTTGGCACACTTTGGTAGCATTCTGTGACCTCTGAATGACGCTGCCTCAGAAAGAGCGAGTGCACGGGCCCAGGTCTGACACAAGCCCACCCTGGGTGACACTAAGGGAGCCCTGTCCTTGCTGCAGCTGGCCAAGGCAGTGCCATGTTCCTCACAAACCCTACTCTTTGTGTTTCATGACAGGAGTCCAAAACTGCTATTTCAACATGCAGAAACATTTTTTGTGTACTGTTCAGAGAATCAAAGATGCTTGAACAAAACCAGTTGCTGACAGCTGATCAACCTCAGAGGTAGCTGTTCCTTACAGCTGCAGCTATACCACCCAACAAAACTATTCTATAAAAATTTTGGCCACATTTGTATGTGTGTGAGAGCAAAACGTGCCTGTCCACTTTCTCAATTAAGAGTGATGATTACAGGCTTCCAGTAAGGCAGCCAAATACTGCTTGTTCTTGTTGGAAATCTCCATAGCAACTACCAGTGCTACTTGCTGCCTTTATAACAAATCTTAGCAAGAACAAAATTACCAGCAGTTTGCACAAAATTGCACACCTCAGGGTTTGCATTTCACACAGTATTCTTTTTTTTTTTTTTTTTTTTTTTTTTTTTTTTTTTTTTTTTTTTTTTTTGGCGGGGGGAGGGGGATCTTTTTTCAAATAAAAAACACAGTGTAGCCATCAGGAATGCAAGATAACCCACCAAAAGAGCAACACATATGTCATATATAGGATCTTTTAGTTTGACTGGGGTTTTTTTCTTTGAAGTATTGTCTTATAAAAACATACACAACATCAAAACATATAGAATTTTTACAATAACTCCAACAGACTGCTTTTAAAATATGTGAGAGGTAGGGTATACATACACTGGTGAAAGCATAAAATTCAACATTAAAGCACACATTCTACTTCCACTGTCAGTGATGTTGTGTTTTTGAGATAGCTAACAAGATTTTGGAAAGATTGCTCTGCTTGCAAGTTAAGCAGGCGACCAGCAGGTTACCAATAACAGGAGTTTTCTTGGTGTGTGTAGCATTAATGTCTTCTGCGTGTTTCTTCTCATATTCCTGTGCCATGCTGTTATTTTAAGTTAAGATAAACCAAAAACTATATGTGAGAAGTGTCACCAGATTAAATGGTATAGCTTTTCCATGGTCATTCCAGTTGCTGAATAATCTAAGCATTATTATTTTTTTTTTTAAAGCATATAATATTTTCCAGAAGAATATTTTCAGCTGGTCTTGCACTGGTAGTCTTGGAAGTGTACTACATATATTCAAGAAATATAAGACAATGTACATTAAATGATTTGTGAAAGGCTCTTATTGGGCAAGAAAAATATATGTCAGGCATGCAGAAATTTGGTCATTTTCTTTTTAAGTTTGCAAAGGTCATGTGATCACATTTCCAGGGAAACTTTTTAATGAAGCTGTGAAATATTGAACGACTTCTGAGTAACATGGGAATTACTACCATGACTCTTGGGTTTTAATGAAACTGCAATACTTTTGGGAAGGGGAGAAAAATCTCTCCCCTCTTCAAATATGTTACAAGGGAAAATACAACAACCAGCCTAAGCCATACCTAGGCAGTAGCTTCTTCCCAAGTGAGCTAACTGCTCAACTTCAAATTCCTGAAAGTGGAACTTTAGAGCAACAAAGTGCTGACACAGCCTTAAATCTTGCAAGTTACCTTCCTATTTGCTTCTTTCCTGAGAAGCCATGCTTTTGAGTGGATTATACTCAGACATTCACCTGAGATAGCAAGAGGATATTCATCTTCTCTAATGTAACAGTCAGGAACTGCCCTGCTGTCCCTTCCTCTTTCTAGAGTGTCACTAGTGTTGATACAGAGCCCTGCATTGAGTGGGTTGGTGTTGTCACAGTGGGTCTACTGTGCCAAAGTGCCCACTAAGTAGCTATAAAATTCATCATCTGCATATAGTTTCAGAAAAAAGACTGCTTGCTGAAAAATGGACTAGTTGAAATAATTGTGTTAGTCCCAGTGTTTAAGTTTCTTCAATTCAAACTGTTTTAGACCTCCTGATTCAAAGGGTGGGGTGAAGTACAGCGTCACTGACATTGAAACAGCATTTTTGCTTTCTGATGTAGTGTGGTTTATATCCTGTCCTTTCTCTTTAAAATCACATCCCAAATTATAGACCGTTATATATTTTAATTCATAACATTCTAGAAGAGTGGTTTATAGCCATTGTAAACACACAGAAACAAATAAAACAATCAGATCTGATTCTCCACAGCATAGTTTTTGAAAGAAAAAGAAGGAAAAAAGTAATGTAAAGTAACATTACCACTCTTGCAAACGCCTTGCAGTTTGTGTCAAGTGGCATAATCTCACTATAGCAAATTATCAGAGATCCTAAGGTGCAGAGGAGCAAGTTTTGCACTTTTGATAAGTGGGATTTGGAAAGTCAGTCACCCTAGGTGCTTTTGCATAAAATGGTCTCCTTCTGGTTGCACAGAAAACCAGACTGCACTTTCCATCACACTGCCTCCAGCTGCAGCCGAACTCCACGTTAACACCTGCCTCCAGCCTTCGTCATTTCCTTCACAGTTACTCTCTTCACAAAGAGTCCAACAACACGGAGCCCTCGTATCAGTCTTCATTTCAAACAGACTCACTTTAACTTTTGGGCCCAGGTTTTCTTTTCCTTTTGCTGTCTTTTGCAGCAAAAACAAGCGTACTAGCCCTCATTGAAGTGTGCTATGTAGCCCAGAGACTGCTCTTTTCTACTTTGTATTCTGAAAGACTAGCTAAACACAATGATATCAAACTATAGTCTTGGAGTGATGCTGTTTAGAGCAGACTCTGCAGGTTTTGTGCCCTAAGCAGACAGCTCTGCTCAGTGTGTTTGTGTGGAGCTGACCAACAGTTTGTGCCAGTTTACTATTCTTTTCCTTAGATCCACTTTGTCAAGCCAGATATAAGCTTCCCCAATCAGTGTCTTTTTCATAAACTTCCCTCCATTGGAGACAAGCAGAATCTGGGAAAATAATAATAATAAAGAATTGTAAATATCAGTGTGCTTATTAACATACTAAATTTGCTAGCAAACATGACAGATTCAGAAATGTTGAGCTCTGATTCACTACATACACAAAATAAACAGGGACCATAACTTTTTATATAGAGCCACCTTCTTAATTAAAAGAAAGCCCTGTAAAAATTGAATCTTCTGTTTCATTGTCATGGAATATAGCACCTAGAAGACAATCTTGGGTGTTAATGAGCAATTTGTTCTCCTGCTGGTTACTGAAAATAAACAGAAGGTCAAGTCTTAAGTTACAAGGTAAAGCAGCTCTTGCTGCTGGTTTTTAAAGTGCATTTCCTTGTCTTAACTTCTGCCTCTGGTTGATTTTTGTAGCTCTTTACAGTGTACCATCTATGATTATCATGTTTGATCTCATCTCACTCCCTCTTTCTGATCTTTTTTCTCCCTCAATCTTCCAATTCCATTTTCATTTTATGCATTCTGGTTTTGTTTTTTCCCCTCTCCTCCAAATCTCTTTTGACAATGTCCATCTCTTTGGCCCTAAATGTTCATCACTCAAATTCAGCATTCAAATCACCCAGCTTCATGCTTTGCCATAGGAACAAATCAACTGATAAGTTTGAAGAGCATAAAAAAACAGATGTACTGAGTCAGATCAAAAATGTCTCCAGGCAAATATTCTGCTTCCAAAAGTGCAGAGGGCAGTGTATAAGGGAGAATATAAGCACAAGGCAATCAGGTAGTGACAGTCTCTCAAAATACCTACTATGATCTGTGGACCATTGGCTTCTGACTCACAGGTAACAAGTCTGCATTTAACAGTCTATGAGGTCTTTTGCCCATAAATTTCTCGTCATTTTCTCCAGTCACTTTTTATGTAAAAATATTTAGAATTCACAATATATAATGGGAATAAATTTTACAGCTCAAACTCCAAGGTTCATGAAGCAGAAATACTTGTCATTTGGTTTAAACTTATTCCTTGATACTTTTACAGGATACTTCATTTTCTTAGCTCTGATGAGCACTCCCAGTACATATCATAGAATCAGAATATGCTGAATTGGAAGGGATCAATCAGGAACATTGAGGCCAATTGCTGACCCTGTGCAGGACACCCCAAGAGTCACACCATGAGCCTGAGAGCATCGACCAAATGCTTCTTAAACTCTGTCAGGCTTGGTGCTGTGACCACTTCCCTGGGGAGCCTGTTCCAGTGCCCAACCACCCTCTGGGTGAAAAGCTTTCTCTTGATACCCAACCTAAACCTCCACTGACTCATCTTCATGCTTTTTACTTAAGTCCTTTCTCTGGTCACAAGAGTGAAGAGATCGGTACCTGCCCCTCTGCTTCCCCTCATGAGGATGCTGAAGACCACAGTGAGGTCTCCCATCAGTCTCCTCTTCTCTACATATCACAGAATTCTTGAGGAAGTGTTGTCAAGTCTCCAGCTGAGTGTTCCTATGGATACCTCCCTCACTATCTCCCGCCTTAACAACTCGATGGATTATTTTTCCATAGGACTCCATGAGTTCTTTATTGGTCTATCCCATATGGTTTTCCTGTAAGCAAAGCTTTTACAGGAATTTTAGCTCATAAACTTTAGCAAGACTTTATTGATAACTTTGGATTTTCCCAGATAATATCAATTATTAAATAGCCTTTTATTGAGTCTACTGAAACAATAAGATGTTAGGACACCTTAACACAGAGAAATAAGCATCTATTTTTGTTGGCCTTGTTTTGTAAGCAACATCCATTTTGGCTTTAATTTTAATGATGCAAGCAATATGCCTAATGTAGGTACTTGGAGAATCCAGTCTAATTTTAGTCATCAGAATGTAGATGGCTTATTCAGGTTAGTCTGCCAGATTTAAAGGTACATTAATTTCAATCTACTGATGTGAAAATAAATGAAAGTAGGAAAATTAAGTCCTACCTGTCTAAAAAAGCAAGTTTGACCATACTATCAAGCCTGTCTAAGCAACTAAACACAGGATAGGAACTATTCTCAAACCAGTTCCACACATCACTTGATGAAGAAAAAAAGAGTCAACTCCTTTACAAATGTATTAGAGAATATTTGACTTGGCATAATCAGTAATTCTCAATGTGCAAGAATATAACTATTGTGTCTAAATTCTAGGTACCATGACTTTTAAAGAAGTTGAAGAACTGGAGAGAATGATTAAATGATTAGACATTTAGGCAAAGGGACATATCAAAGAAACTTGGTTGACTTAACCTGGAAAAATAGAGATAACAGCCTTTCAATGTAAAAAAAAAATATTTTTTTTTAATTAAAGAGAAAGTTTTCCTCTGTGCTTTGTGAGGATACTTAAGGATAAGTGAGCCTAATTTAAAAATATGGCATATTTAAGTTTGATATTGCACTAAACTTTCTAAATACACAGAAAATTATTCTTGGAAGGCAATCATAGCACACTTCTCTACACAATTTTAAGAATAGATCAAGCCTAAAATTTTCAGGCCTGATCTATAAATACCCTTCCTCAGTGTGGTGTGATGGAGTAACTCGACTTTTAATGCCTCCTTTAGCCTGATATTTCTGTTATTATGTAACTATGTGATTTCCTTTGTAGCTTTCTCTTTTCAGCAAACAACTAGGGTAGAAGATTGATCTTAAATGCCCATAGCACAGCATGGACAACATACAAAATTAGGTTTTAATAAAGTACAGAATTACCTGAAGAGAATGCCCAGCAGGACTCAAACTAAATCTAAACGTTTCATTGAACGAAGGCTCTCGGTCATGCCTGCACACCCTGGTTTTCTTCTTAATTACTCTCTTTTGGGTAGAGATATTGACAACGTACAGCTTCACATACAGGTCTGGGGAAGAATAGTTCAATGAGTTAAATACAGAAGTTTTTAAATAGTCATTGTTGTTAATGATTTCAACAGAGCGGATTTTTTGTGAAAAAAAAAAAAAAAAGATACTTTACAAAGCCATATTCTGTTCTCATTCACATGGTGTGGAAATGGAATCACCCCACTAAATAGAAGGGAATTACTTTGTGTTTACAGTGCTGTCATTAAAGGAACAAATACTTTGATGTCTTTATCTAAGTATGAAAATATTATTATGAACATGATATTTTAGTTTTTAAAAAGCTTTTTGACCAAAATACAATTTTCTACTAGATATAACTGTTCTTTAATAACTTAGGGATTTATAATTTTTACTGAAGTTAAAATAGATTAATTTTTAGCAATCAAAAGTAAATCAAAAAGAGGATTAACTTCTGAGAGTTAATTTGCTTCTACAAAATGTTTTTACTTTCCTTAAAGTTGCTCATAGGAGGAAAAAAAGGCATTTAAAAAAGAATCCTATAAAATATGTCATCCTGGCTAAGAAGCAATTTTCTTTCCCATTTTAGTGGTGTTGTTAACTGACTTAAGAAACAACCTACTTGATGTTTTCAAAGTATCATGAAGCTGTTTTCTGTGTGATACCTGGTAGATGATCTGGAGATTTAAATTTGTATGTGATATTTCTGCACTGAAGGATTTCTACTATCAGCTGTTCTCCATCTGTCTTCATTTCCTTCTTTAATGCAATCTTGATTTCACCCATAACCTGTGTTTTACCTGGAAAAGCAGAAAAAGCAACCCTCATTAATGTAAAAGGAAACTGAATGTATCCTTTTAACTTGGAGATTAGAGTTTTCTGACTTTTTTCCTCTTTTTTTTTAGTTTGGGGTTTAATTTTTTTTTTTTAAACTTACAGTTTTTATAACTAAAGTTATGGCTTATAGTTTTCAGTCAGTAGTGTAAGGATAACACATAGCTTGGATGAGCAAATGATAGATACATGCAGTACACTTGTATAACTAGATTATATGCTTCAGAATGTATTTGCCTCTATGGAGCTTTTTTCCCAAGAATAGAAATTTCTCTGCGAATCATGACAAGTCACATAACGGTCACTGCAATTCACCTTTTCAGAAACATTTGCTACAGGATTCTGAAGTTACCTTATTTAAAAAAAAAAAAAAAAAAAAAAAAAAAAAAAGCAAGAAAAAAAAGAGAGAACATTCAATAGAATCTTAAAAGTAAGATATCAAAAGGCAATGAATTAAGACTGGTGAAGTCAGCGTTTCTTTTCACCCTCTTACATACATGGAGCAATCTCATTCACATAATTTAAAGGGAAGTGCTCACAGTGACCTTTAAAAGTAAAGACAATTTCCCATCTTATGTGAGCAGATATACAGGACCATTATTCCTACATTTTATGGATTTCTCTCTAAATCAGTCCAGAGAGGAGAGAAGGCACAGAAGGAAACATAGGCAAAGCTATTTTGCCTTTCCTCTGCTTGTCCTCCCACGAGGCTTTATAGAAGCCAGGCAGAGTGAAGCAGGACTACATCTTCTAAATGTGTATGATGATAGAAGCAGCTTGAATCTCTCTGTAATAGCATCATGCCATAGTGAGGTTTGTGCTTCTGTATCTACTGTCCTGCCACTGAAAATATTATTTCACTGTCCTCTTCTTTTTAGACATCAGTCCAAAAGAAATAAAAGCATAAAACCCCTGGGATTCTATATTATCTAGTTTCTGATGCCAGCAGGCTGGAGCTTTAACACATTACTGGAAATTCTAAAAGCTTGTGCCAAGATGTATGGTGCAAAGCAATTCTGCAGAAAGTAAACAATTATGATACATCTGGAGAAGGTTCTCCATTAAAGACTATAAAGTTGCCAAGTGGCATTTAGAGATTACTTCTTGTATCACAAGTGTACAGCCAAATTTGAAAAATCCCCACTAAAAATGACAGCTGTTGTTTTGCAGATGTCAATTCTATTTTTTTCTACTTAAAATATTTTTTGGAGCCATGAATAAAAAGTTATGAACAATCACAGTGATAACCTGGGCCCCCAACTCTCTTCACAAACTGGAGCTGGAATCTAATTTAGTTACAGTCATTATTAAATTTGTAATTCAGCTTCAACTGCGTCAGCATTTCACCTATTGTTTGTAAGGCGGGAGAAAACCTGTTATGAGGCAAGTGATTCTTTTACAATAATTACTCATGGCAAAGCCACTTCTATAGGTTTGAATATGCCATAATAGCATCTTTCTCTCTGCTATATGGTTGTGCAAAGAGAATGAAGCCTTCATCTTGTGATGGCAGCAGAAAATATCATTTGTAGTTGGGATCAAAGAAGGAAAGGCCAACAATGAACCTTTTCTTATCCATTAATCTTTTATAATGCCTTGTTTCTGGAAAGTGTTGAGTGCCCATTGGGTCTATGTAGGTTAAACTGGGGATTTTGAATGACTGGAAAGAGATACAAGAAAGGTTATAATGCCTTCTATTCTCTGCAGATAAAATCCTCAAACCACCAATGAAGACATGACACACCTGAAAGGTGTTGTTTAAATATGGGTTGGTGACCAATATTAGTTCTTGTGCTCACTCCAATCCTTGACCATGAAAAAATCCCAGCATGAACAGTTGTAGGACAAACAGTTTCAGGCAATCTTTAGTTAATTATAGTCTTTTCTGGAAAATATAAATGGCTAATTTATTTCATTCCCTCTATGTCCTTTAAAATGTATTTGCAACAGTAGTTAGGTTTTTCTCTTGATTGCCTTCATACCTCTTAGGGGTGCATTCAACTTAAAATAAGATGAGGTGAGTTGAATGCTCCTTGTGATGCTGTGAGTCAGAAAAAAGGATAAATTATTCCAGTAAACTATGTTTGAAAATTCCAACACCATTTCTCAGCATCTGGAAATTTTCCGTGGACTATTCTATACCCCCAAATACTCTTTAGGACAAACTGTCATGCTTCACTGTTTAAGTCTCATGGGGAAAACAATGATCTCCAGCTGCAAGCACATGAAGCATGATAACTTTCTTGTGCTTTCATACTAATTGTATTTTCTCCCACAGCAGGCAGCGAACGAGCCTAAATACCAGCCTTATGAAACATTGCACTGAAATAAATCACCACTTCAAAACCAGTATTTTGTAGACTCAGAAGAGATTTCTATTCCCTCCATTTCTTAACTTTCCCCCTTTTCTCGTATATGCTCATTACATCTTTCCTTTAATAGGTGTGTAAGAGTAGAGCACATGTGCCTTGGTTTGTGGAGTCGATTCTTTAAATGGAAATGAGAGATTCGGTGATGAGGGGAAGTATTAATTGTGAACCGTCTAAGGGCTGATGAGAGAGTTCACACTGGGCTGAGCTGGACATGAATTTTCTCTGTCTGGTGCGACAAAAATAAATTTCCTCAGGTTGTCATGAGATTGGATGACCCCAAGGGTTGCATTGGGAAGAATTATATCAAAATACAGCACCAAGTTGCTGGAATCTGAAACTCAGCTATAAGCAGAAGGAAAATTTACAGGATTAAATCAGGAAGCCATGTACAGCAAGAGTTAAGACACTCCTTACTCTGAGAGCCAAAATGCCTCGTCACCTGTTATTATTCAGCTATGTTTAATCCTACTGTCTCCCTCAGCAAGATATGGTAAGACTTTTTGGGGAAGTTGCCAGACATGTGAAAACCCTTTTGTTCTCTTTCCCCCATGTGATTCTCACTTCTGGAAAATATTAGCCACCTTGTGTAATTGCAGTAGAAAATTGTGTAACTTTAGTTAACATAACCCATCCCCTAAATAGCATAACTCATCCTCCTCATTAGCATACCCTGCCCATGGGACTGATATATTGCAAATCGTGTGTTCAATAAATCATTCTGGTTTGCACCTCCAAAACTGGGATCCTTTAGTTATTTGGACCTTTGCACCAAGTCACAACCTTTTGCATTCTTATATAAGTTTAGAAAACATCAATCATAAGTGATGTGAGAATGGAACATGTTGCAGGTATTTTGGTTTGTTGGATGATGATAAATGGTACAGTGCAGCTCTGGAAAAAAGTAAATACTATGAAAGTGATATTGCATATCTTTTGAGGAAAAGACTTATATGGTTTTCCAAGGCATTGAAAAATAATTTTTAACTTGACTACTAACATTTTCCTCAATAAAGATGAATTTTAAATGAAACAGGAGCAAACCAGGTTTATCACAGTGGCAAAGAACCATATAGTAAAGCACTAAAAAAATTACTGTCTAATTTACCCAGGAAACAAGGAGTGAAAAAAAACATGTTCTACAAACATATGCTAGAGTAAAAATTGAGAAGGATAATAAGGGATATTTAAGCTGAATTAGTGTGATATTTTACCTATTACATATATACCAAATGCACACTTACTGATGTACCACAAAGGGACCACAGACATGCATGGCAGCATTGTGTTCACTCTTGGAACATGATAACTGTAGGCAACCAACTCTTATCTATGATTAAACACATTGGTGTTTTTTTACATGACAGCACACCTCTTTTTAGGGGACCATATTTATTAACAATTCATTAAAACTTAAAGGGTGATGGCTACTAGCTAAATTGCTGGAAGGTATTTGAGAATTCAAGAAGTTTAGATTTGCTGTGGTGATGGCAACATAAGCTGTTGTTCTAGTAGAATTGTCACCCTCAGCACTGTGAAAGGTTAATTAGTTTTGCTGTTAGTTTTAAGCGACTGCTGCTGTAAATCACAGGATGTGTCATCTGCACTGTTGTTGTCAATTCCAGGGATTGATAACTATGGATTGTGCTCCCACTCCTTTTTGATCAAATGCCTGCTGTCAAACAGGATTACCCAAGATGGTAGTAAACAGTTGCTTCCCATCACTGTTTTATCAAGGCTAATGCATTAAATGAGCAAGTAAATCTCACTGGAGAATAGCAGGAAGTTCATTCAGTTCAACTGTCTAAAATTCTGAGCTAATCTGCACATTTACCTTAGAATAAATTGAATTGCCTTCTGAAATTGACTGTGTTTATTCACATAGATGGATCATGTATGAGTAGGTTAAACTTGGAGATTTAAAAATGAGGAGTCTAAATGCTGCTACTTGATGAGCATCATACTTGAGTAATTTTCTGAATGGATGCCAGATGGCCAGAAAACAGAATTAGGAAAATAAAAAAACCTGACATTTTGTTTCATGGTTGTGTATAAGTTGGTATGGGTTCCTTCTGTTCCAGAAGAGTGACTGGGGTGTAATAGAGCAGTGAAAATAAAAGTAAAATACAAGGAGAAAAAAATATTAACAAATATTTCTCAACATTTTTTCCTTAAAATGAGGTTTATAACAGAGTTAATGTTTACAAAATAGGTAAGAAATACTCTTCAGGAGCTTCAGGAGTCAGACACTTTATGGTCAAAGATTTTAAACAAGAGAAAGGTCCTTCTGAACAGCTTCTAATGATACTGGCCTACTGAACACAGCAATGCTAATTTTGGGTGGTAGTGGGGGGGTGTTGTTTTTTGGTTTCTTTTTTTTAATTCCTTACATCCCAGATCATCCTCTTATTATCAAAAAACTCAGATGCTGGAAAAAATAAGCAGGACAAACCAAACAAAAAACACCAACCAAACAAAAAGCAACAAAAGTTAAAAACAACTTTACTTTTCTACACTTCATGACTACAGTCTACAGGATTAGCGTGTTGTATTCACCATGTATGTAGAAGAGCAAGGTACATGATGCTATGGTGTGT